CTGTCGCCCACTTGTGTGGATAGATGCTTCCGCTACAACGGGCGAAATCCCCTATTCCCAATCGATGGACGTATAGGACATCTAATTAGGTAGCATCAGGCGCCGGATGGGTTTGTACTATGTATGGGTGAGGTGTTGATTACCTACCCGGTGACACATTTATGATCCCTGGAAGACAGCTGCTGGCGAGGGACATGGTAGGAGCTAGCCATGGGCATTTCCGTCCCTTCCCTTGCTCCCGAATGCGCCGGAATGTTGCGGTGGAGCATTAGCGGTAGGCCTATCTCTCTACCGTAGATGAAAGCGGGGCGCTAGTTCAAGGGGTTCAGGTCGCTAGGTGACTCCCTGAGGCTCGAGCAGCCCAGGCCGATCGTTCATTAGGTACGAAATTATCCCAAGCTCCTGGTCGGTCCACAAACTCTCAACTCTTTTAACCCCCGTTCCTTGTCAGTAGGAGGTTCTTCGGAGAACCAAACCACATTCAAGTCTACCAGAACTGTTCGTACTGAATTCTGCCGTGGTCGGTAATCGTTTTTCGGACGTTGCGCGTGGGTCGGTTACATCATCGGCTAGCGACGTTGCCGTGCCTCCATGATTTTTTTTTGTTTACTTTAGCATTGTTTGGCGGTGTCCAGTGCTAGCTCCCGCACTTATTGGTGTCGCACGCTCCCCCGCCGCGCTTTGATCACCTCACAGCTCTCGACACACTTCACTGCGCCAGGCGAACCGAGCTCGTGCCTTTCCTTGACCACCTGCTGTGGAACTACTTTTGCCATGGAGGATACTCAGAGCCGAACCAGCGGGATTCCGCGGCCCTCGCGACTGCCAGTGCCACGCACGCAGTCAAGCATCCCCAAACCGACGGCCACAATACCCCGCCCGAATTTGACGATACGTGCCTCCCGATCAAGAGACAATCTTGCTGTCAAAGCCCCCGTGGTAGCAGAGCCAAGAGGGCCCTCCCTGAGAACATCGGTATCTAGGGACCAGCTTCGCTCCAGCATTGGACCTGGCAGTCGGGGCCTAGGATTGAGAAATTCAGTCTCACGCGAGCAATTGTCTGCCCCTAGCACGAAACGACACTCGATGTTGGGCAAACCTAAGATTCCCTCTTCACGCCGAACGAGCGCCGCCAGTGAAGCGATATCGCCAACCTATCCCGTTGAAAGCCAGCGGGAGTCCCACACCTCCGGGGTTGATAGCCCATCTATTCCAAAGCCCTCCCAACAATCTGAACAAATATCTCCTTCCCAAGTCGATGGTTCACTCGCCTGTGACCCATTGTCCTCAGAGCCTCCTGTCGAAGCTGCAGATCTATTGAGCTCTCCCAAGCGCAGGACCGGGCCTCGCCCTTCGCTTTCCGAAAGGACTGTCGAAACGTTAGCCAACATTCAGTCTTCACCAGCAGTGAATAAATACAGAGCCCCGTCCTTTTTTGACACAGGCAAACAAAGATCGCGGACCGGAAGTGGAGCTTCGAGACCGGGCTCAAGCTACAACTCGGATGGCTCTGCAAGATCCTCCTCTAGGGCAGGCAGTCGCGCCGGTAGTCGAGCAGGTAGTCGGCCTGGATCCAGGGCGGGATTTGAAGAGCCTACACCGTCAAGGTTTAGAGCCTCTCTTAACACGATGAGGCCTCCGCTATCTACTATTGATGGCACGCCCTCCTCGAGCCCATCGATCACCATTCCTGGAAAACCTCCAATGATTAGAAAAGCTCCTTCGCGGCAATCGCTTTCCGGTGTTGCTCGGCTGTCGCATGTAGAGCCCGTTGCAACGCCCACTAAACGAGGGCCAGCTCAGGGGGTGAAATCATATGGTAACCTCACGCCAAGTGGTGCATCCAAGACAGTGAGCGGCCGATTATCCAAACCGAAAACTCCCGCCAAGAGTCTTTTCAAGAAGCCTTCTTTACCAACGATGAACTCAGGGACAGCCTCCAAGGGTCCGTCTCTGGGAGGAAACTGGGATGGCTCAATAGCCCCGCCAGTTCCAGCCACATCGGCAGAAACGGAAAGCCCTGCTCATCGCAAATCGTCTGCCGCGCTCCGCGATCAAATTGCCAAGGCAAAGGCCGCTAAGAGAGCGGCAATGAAGCAAGTATCAACCTCTGCTTCTGGTGGAACCGAACCAGCTACACCAGTGGCTATTCCAGAGGACGATCAACCTGACTTTGAGTTGATGCACGGTGACCCTTTTGGTCTGAAGAAGGGGGAAGAGCCGCAGAAGAAGGTTCTTGCTCAAAGACTTGGCGTTGGAAGAACAAGCGGAAGATTGAATATTGCTGCCCTCGGCTTGAAGGAATTTCCCGCTGAGGTGATGAAGATGTATGATCTAGAAAACATTGGCTCCGGCAATGGAAGTTGGGCTGAGAGTGTCGACTTGACAAGACTTGTGGCGGCCGACAATGACTTTGAGACACTGGATGATATGATCTTTCCAGACGTAGACCCGAACAACTTCGATGACGAACAGGAAAGCCAAGGTAACATTTTTGCTGGCTTGGAAACACTTGATCTGCATGGCAATCGCTTGACGAGCCTACCAATCGGTCTCCGACGCCTTGGTTGCTTAGCCTCTCTGAATCTTGTAAGTCGTTTTTCTTTTCTTTTCCCCAGAATGTGTTGATCGGTGCGGAGAATTGGACTAACGGTGAGCATAGTCGTCGAACCGGCTCACAAATGATTGCTTAGAAGTAGTCGGTCAGCTCACGTCCCTCAGAGATCTTAAGATCGCAAAAAACAAGCTGAGTGGACCTGTAAGCCCGATTCTTGGATCTTTGACAGCGCTGGAGATTTTGGATCTTCACGGCAATGCCCTCACCGCCTTGCCCCAGAACATCAATGAAATGTCCAACCTGCGGATTCTCAATCTGGGCGAGAATAAGCTAGAGAAATTGCCATTCAGCGAGCTTGAGAAGCTCCCGTTGACTGAGCTCGTCCTGAAAAAGAACAACTTGAGGGGAACTCTGATTACAGATGGAACGACTGGCTTCAAGCAGCTTCAAACGCTGGATATCGCCTGTAACCAACTCACACACCTCGTGCCTACGGGATCGACCATTCAGTTCCCTGTTCTACACACTCTTACTCTCTCGATGAATCGTATCCAGGAGCTTCCCGACATGGTTTCATGGCCCAGCCTGTTGGCGCTCACGGCCGATGAAAACAACATTGCAGCGGTTCCTGAGAGCTTTTTTGGTCTCGAGAAGCTTCGGCAAGCTGATTTTTCCAGCAACGACATCCGCGTTATCCCTCCCGAGCTTGCGCGAATGGACAATTTGGCGATGATCAGACTCGGTGGCAACCCTCTCCGTGACAAGAAGTTTGTTTCTATGCCAACAGAAGAGCTTAAAGAGGCGCTTGCAGCCCGACTAGAGCCACCACCGCCTTATCACGAGGCGGAGACTGCACAGCCCACAATCCTGGATGTCCTCGCGGATGCCAAAGGCAATGTCATTGACCCCCTTGCCAGTCAAGGAGTACCTGACTCTACTATCGTTAAAGAGGATGTAGACTCTGACTGGGAAGAAGACTTTGCAACACCTCCTACATCTGCTCCACACTCACCAAATCGCTCTCGGTCCCAGACTGTCTCCAGTATGAGGTCTCGAGCTCACACGCTGTCGAACGAGGTTTGGCCAGTGAAGCACGGTGGACTCCTTGATCGATCTCACACTGAATCTTCTACCTTGCAACCAGCGATTTGCGTAAGAATCGCGGCCCAAAACCAAATCAGACAAGTACACATTCATCACAACATATTTGCCAGCATCCCCCTTTCGCTAAACTCGTTCGCTTCAACGCTCAATTCTCTATCCTTGGCCAGCAACCAGCTATTGGGAGATACATATCTTGATGAGCACCTGGGGTTGCCAGTTCTGAAAGAGCTCAATCTCTCATCCAATCGCATCGCCGGTTTTGACTCTCTCATGAAGCATCTCGAGGCGCCTATGCTCGAAAAACTTGATGTATCTCTAAACCGCATTTCCACTCTCCCGCCACTGAAGGGGTCGTTCCCAAGTTTGTCAGTTCTCCTGGCGTCAACCAATCAGCTCACGGAGTTGGAACCAGCCTCTATCCAAGGTCTCAAGATTGTTGACGTGTCAAGTAACGACATTGCGCGTCTGGATCCCCGAATAGGACTTCTTGGAGGCCCGGGTGGCTTGGAAAGGCTTGAGGTAGCAGGTAATCGCTTCAAGATTCCTAGATGGGACATTTTGGAACGTGGCACTGCTGCAACACTGCAATGGCTACGCGGGCGAGTACCTGTGGCAGAACTCGCTGAATGGAGAAAGGTGAATGGGGAGGATGAGTTTGATGATATCGACTAATCATCCAGAGCTATTCCTGGTGCATACTAAGGCGTTGAACACCATGTTTCAAAATGATCCAGCGAGAGAGGTTTGGGTATATCTAAAAGGAGTACCAGGGCATTTGGGCAGTCCCGCCCTTGACAACTTTACATCATGGGAGGCGTTATCATTGTCATAACCATACATAATACATATTATAATCCATATTTCGAATCTTTTTTGGAGCCAAAGTCGGATGGAATCGACGAAAGGGTTCTGGTATTATATAATAATAAGGAAATATCCATTATCACGCATCGAACCCTCTTTTTCTGATAGTAATTCTACCGAAATCAATGCTTTCTTCTATGATTTCATTGCCACTGGCTCCTTCCATAGTATGTGACATGACGTCCAAGCTTGGAGAGAGAGGAGAAGGAGTCAATCACTAGGTAGTAAGTGGCAGCCATCTCAGAAGTCCCTTGGGAAAGACGGAACTACAAGCTGAACGGAGACGACTCTCTTGAGCTAACCAGATCATTATTGATTAAATTACTACCCGTATTCAAGATATCATATCATCCACGTTGTCTGACTACGCGACCCGCTCAATCAAGCCTTGATTTACCTACCTACTTGGCCCTCATTGGCGAACGAACACTAGAGGCAGCCGCCACACGCTGGGGACATAATCTCCACAAGCGCCATGGCCGACAGAGATCCTTCATCACCTGAGCAAGACCCTTACACGGCGGCTGTTCGGGTCCTCGCGCCCATCACAGCCCTCGGGTGGCTGTTCTTCGGGATGATATGCGTCCTGTCTATCAACGGCCGGGGACGAGCCGGGCGGTGGGTGCCCGAGTGGTATCTGGATACACTGGGAACGAGGAGAGACCGAGCCTGGCTGGTCGCTTGGTGGGTGGCAGTGCTGGTCCTATGGCCTGTTATCCTGCCAATGGTCCTGGGGAATCGAATTATCGGCTGGATGAGGGCGTCCTGCGGCAGGGAGCGAGGTGCCACGACGCAATTGGAGGATGGGGCGGGACCGGACCTGGGGAAGACGATGGGCAAGGGGGCCAGGGGGAGGGGATTCGGGTGGGCATGGACAGGACGGAGGGGGGCGATGAAGCTGAGGAGTGAGGACAGTGCTGAGGACAAGACGTCGAAGTGAATCCCTCTCCGCTTGGCGAGGTGTGGTGTGGTGCCGTGCCGTGCCGTGCTATTCCGCTTGTTTTTGTCAATGCGTCACGATCAGACCCCAGGGGATGACAGGATTTTCTTTTCGTGAGACGGGGCAGTGCGCAGACGGGTACGTTTTTCGTGGGGCGGCATGAATTAGTTGTGGTGTTGGTGTTGTTATTGTTTTGATATCACGACCAGGAGTCGTGGCTCGTCCCGGTCACGAAATATGGGCAGCTCAGCAGCAATTGCGATACGACTTACATGCTATACGGAGCTGCTGTGATACGAGCATACATTGATTAGTCGATTGGTATCCAAGCCATGGCGTCAAGGCGTTGGGAGCTTGATCTTAGCCTGGACTGAGGTTGCTTTAGGACAGCTGTTATTAGCTCACAACGTGGACATATTGCATCTATTATTGTTGTTCCCCATGGCACGAACGAGACCGCGTTTTCATGCATCGCGACTGGCTGGAGCGAACCGAGGGAAAAGAAGGTCAAGGGGAGTGATCTTATTGGAGAGAAGAAGTTTCTTTTTCCTTGCATTAGTCTACCCACGCAAGGGGCGGGACACGTCGTTGGAGGAAGTCAGACTGTCAGGCCAGAGCCGGTTCCCAGTCTCCCGTTTATTAAGTTCTGCCAGGTTGTAGGCTGGCGGATGTCATGTCATGCCATCCAATGTGCCAACCACCAAGTTAAGATGGCAGTTATTACATATCCAAGGTAGTATTTTCCTGCGCACGCAAGTTCTAGATCAGGCCGCCGCTCGGCTGCCGAAGGACGGGCCCCTGGCCGCAGAGAGCCCTGGGGATGGATTGCCAGGCCGGCGACCCGCAGCGAGCCCCTACCTTACTTTAGCGGCCACATGCTGCAGCCACAGCGCTCCACAGCTCTCCACAGCGCTCCAGCCCGGCCACTCGCTCCGTCAGAGTCTTGCTTCGACGCTTCCGGTGGGGTCGCAGCTCAAGCGGACCCTATTGCGGCATAGCGTCGCTGGCTAACCAGCCTCTCTAGTTTCTTTTCCCCAGGCAACGTCAAGTTCAGATCGCACACCTCGTCAACTGCCCACCGCGCTGGGCCAAGAGCTGGGAGGAAATCTGTCTGAACCTTCCCTCTCTCCTGCCCATCTTGCATTGGCTGCTCGAGTCCTTGTGCGACCTGCGATATATGTGCCTGCTGCTCGCACCCCGGCGCCTGAAACCCCCTCCTCAGGAGGCTACTCCAATTCACGGAGGCCAATCAATCCCTCCTCGTCAGCTCTGTGTTGGCATCCGAACCGCATCCACCGCCTTGCTCGACCGATCTTTCTAGAGCTCCAGTGGTGTGACATATCTTTGTCCACGACCTCCTGTTCCCCGCGCCGATTTCGATCAAGGAGCAAACAACATATACATACATCCAGGCCTCCTACGTATCTATCTATCCACACCTACCTATCTCCCATCATGTCTGCCGATATCAAGTCCGAGTCCCAGCGACTCAATGAGATGAATGGCATCAATCACATCGATAACTCACAAGATCCCTCCACTCCCCAGGACGACGGGCCCCGTGATTCGGCCCAGACGGCGCTGCCTACTACAGAGGTGCCAGCTTCCCCTATCGACCTGAACCAGTCCTTTCGAACCGAGGTCAATGATGATCGGTTAGACAACACAATCATCCCATCGTCGTTGACGCCGCCGCCATCCACCCAGGTCGAGCCTGTCAATGGCAACAACTCGCGGTGGACCCTACCGCGATCACAGCAGTCCAATCTCGTCTCCCCCCCTGCTACCATTATGAACATTCTCAAGGACAGAGATCCGAGCTCTGAATATGTACTCCCTGAGCCTCAGGAGATTGCCGATGCAACCACCGATGAGCTACGGCATATGCTCCAGACCTGTGTTGCCGAGCACCAACGGTTAAAGACGGAGACAGCACATTATAAATTACAGTACAACCTGCTCCACCTGCAGGCCGAGGACGACGCCGCACGAGCTGAGGTTGAGCACGAGATGCTTCGTAGGGAGATTGACGCTCTCCGCACCGCAGAGCACTCGCGACAGGCGAGGCGCGAATTGAGCACCTTCTCAGAGACCATGCAGACCAAGTATATGGACATGAAAGAGCGGTACGAGGCAGCAGTGGGTGAAGTTCACGGTCTCATGAAACAACTGAAAAAGGCCACCAGGATAATCCAGCAGAAGGAGGAGGAGCTGGATATCGCATCGGATGATCGAGACCAGCTCTTGACCCGCATCCGCGAGAACCGGGAACACATGTACAGGCTATGCAGCCCTGGCGGCATATTCCATGGTGCTCTGACCCCAAAGCAGCACGGGTCACCTTCTCAGCACCGAGTTAATCGTCACCAACCCAGACAGTTGGCTACAGAAGATTCGCGCGGCCTCTCTACCCTTCTTGAAGCTATGAGCCAAGATAACAACAGCGCTCCTTCGACTCCGCTCGTGCCCACTCGCTCGATTGGTGCCCGTCCGGTTGGCCGCCATCAACGGAATGCGCAGTCCTTGTCCTCCCTACCTACCACTCCCATCAGCCGGCCCCGGGGCCCCGGTCTTCTTCCATCTGCAAGTCTGGTACCCCTGACCGAGCCCCCTAAATCATACGCCGTGAGGCATTACCAACCAGCTACACCTACCACCTCAAGGCCTGAACGGCGAAAAAGTCGTGAGAGCACCATTTCTGTCGACGGAGAGGACACAGAGGAGCTGGCCCGACAAGCTTTGAGAGTGAGCCAGGCCAGCCGGTCTTTTGATTTACCACCACAGGGCAACGGTTCTCAACGGAGCCACGAGGGTCAGGATCCGGATGTGTTTGACAGCGAAGCCAGCCAGGCAGCGACAGAGATGCTACGCCGTGATCCAAGACAGAGTTTCGAGGTGAGGACATCACAGGAATCTCAGGGGGCGGATCGTGTCCCTGGAGCGGTCGAGCGGTCATCTGGCGTGATGCAGGCAAGGCTATTGGCAGATATGCGCAGCGGCGTCGAGAAGCGCAAGTTTAACGGTTCGCAAAGTGGCTCACAGGATGAGATCCAGCGCGAACAGGGCAGCCCTCCTAAAAAGACGAGGACGGACGGCCCAAAGGAGCCACGGTTTGGGCTGGGAATACAGTACAGTCGGTGAACAGTGGCGACCTTGAACGAAGACCAAAATGAGACGGATGGAAGGAATTATCTGGACCTCATCACATGAGGTAATTGGGAATATTTTTAATCTCAAGGGTTTCATTTAGTATCAATTCTCTATCATGACAGCGGGCTGTGATCATCATGGGAGCGAGTTTTGTCTCGTCACTTTACGGCGCTGGCGCGGGTTTATCGGGAGAGTGTGCCAAAACACCTAGACTGAACGTGTGAGATCTACTTGCAAAAGAATCAGCGGTTGAAGATGGGTATTCCGACTATCGTGATGGGATAGTCTAGCTAATCTAGTGAATATTCTGACTATTCCAGTAGCTCTAGAGCAAGTATCCATCAATTGAAAAACCAAATATCCCTAGTTTGGATGAAGATGCAAATGAATAACTTTTGTCGGCTGGCCAAGTGAAATGCAACCATGCTTTTCCGTCAACCAACCAGCCATGGTCATAGTGAATATGACTCAAATATGCCTGGCGGTGATCGATGATAGCCCCTTTGATACGTTTCCTCGAACTCTGTTCTCTCTCTCTCTTTTTTTTTATCTTTTTCTTTTCTTGTGCCTCTTGATTTCAATATGGCGGCTGTGAACGCCCAGTGCCAGGCCTCAGCGGAGGAAAGTAGGCTTATGTGGCAGAGTTAGAACACCCTGGATGGCAGGTTTTAGCTTTTCTTTCGCTGCTTCTCCAAGTTTCTCAGTTCCGTTTCCAGGTCTTGTATCGAGACGTCGTCCCCAAGCGACATCTCCTCATCCTGATTCTTCTCGCTACCAGTGTTGTCCTTGTCCTTGTCGCTGTCATTGTCGCTTTCGCTCTCACTCTCCTCTGTGTCCGTTTGAGCCATCGACCCATCACCGAATAAATACCTATGAGCTTCCTCCATGCTCATTATATGCCCAATGGTTACTTTCTCGGGGATTGAGGCGTCTTGCTTCAGGATGTGATCCAAGTCTTTGTCTGGTGATTCCTAATCAACCAGCCACGCCCCTAAGATCCCTTGGCAACTTTCACTCAACTCGCCTGCCGATAGCCCGTTGTTAGACAGAACTCTGGCGTGGATGTTGACCTGGGTCTTGGCCTCTTCAATCGCCTCAAGGGTTTTCTTCATGGAGACTCTTTTGACCTCTCCCAGGCTCTCATGAAACGCATATCGCATGCTTTGGCACAGCCTTGGAACTAAACGTTCACACTGCAAAGGAACGTTTTCTGCCAAAAAGTTTTGGCGCTTGGCGTGCGATCTAGGGCCTATTTATCAAGGTAAAACAGGGTAATTAGTATAAGTTGTCAGAACGGCGGCCAAGATGCTTACCTTGGTATTGCAGAGCCTCGTTAAAGACGGGCCTGAGCGCGTTCTCTATACTTGGAACGATCAAAGAATGTAAGCCATTGACCCTTTTGGCAAAGTCGTCTAATAGGGAGCTCATTTGACTGCAGAGACTAGTGCCAATTGCCGCCATTTCAGGGAAGATGCTGATGAACTCTTCTCTAAGCTTCCAATCACTTTTGCCGACTGCATCACTCTTCCAAGCGTCGATGATTTTAGTCTCAACGTCATTTCGTAGCCTCAATAATGATTCCTCGGAGACTCCCTGCCAGTTTTCTTTCAGAGTTTCGAGCAGAGGTGTCGCCCTACCAGAAGGTTAGCTTAAGTTCCCGCTCCGACGGCTGGCAGATATACTTACAAATCCAAAATCCAATTGTATTCAATACCGCTGGGGTGCTTCCAATACCCCTGCCGAGAAACTATCGCTCTGTAAGTTGACCAGCATATTTTCTGCCGATTGGGGCACTTTGGGTCTTTCCAAGACCAGGATTCAGTGATATATTGGCTCTCCCTCTTAAATTTAAATTTGATTGGGTTGATCTCTTTGAGAGTGTCAAACTCTTCAATTTTCTTGCATAAAGTGTCGAAGACACTCTCCAGATCCTGGGAATCGGATTAGCTCGTAGTTCAAGGCGTCAAGGTACATGCTTGAATAAAACCACTTACTTTCAAACAATTCTGGTGAGATTTGTAAAGTCGAGCTTCAATCTCAGCATGGTTCATAACCGGATCTGACTTCTCCGGATTTTTCGTCCATGCCTGCAGCTTGTTGAAGATGACAAGGTATTTGTTCAATATCAAAAGAAGGTGCTTCTCTCTAGACCCGGATATAGCCTTATGCATCCATTGCGCTACCCTGGGGATCCCAGTGAAAGACTCTCGGGGAAACCCGAGTCTTGCCCCTTTTAGATTTTGGAGCTGCCAGAATGCAGTTGAGCTAATTCCTAGGACTGTAACTCCCAACGTCCCATTTCTCGAGACACTGGGCCCCTGAGAGTTACCTGTCCTCTGCCTCTGGAAGCTTTCCTCTATACGCTCACCCACAAGGCGGTTTCTATTCCAGATGGCCCAATGGGTCAGTTGGTGATCAAGCCTCTGAATCTCAAAGTCCGCTTGTTTATTGGTTTTCTTGGCACGGTCTTTCCATGCCTTGATTTTCCTCAACAATGCTTTCGCGTGCAACTTATTGTTAAAAGATGAGTTAAACTTCATACTCTCCTCCCGCGATGCTGTCTTCTTCGGCTTCTGGTCAATGATTAGATCCTTTTCCTCTTTCCTATTCTTCATATTTTTAAGAGAAATTCTCTCGAAATATCTCATCAGAGATTTGGCCCGTGATTGCAACTTCCTTTGTCTTCGATTGTTGGGTCTGTTCCTCTTTTCCTGTCGGGCAATTTGAATCGCCTCCTTCAAGCGCTGCACTTCTTTGTCCTTTGCGTATAAGTTTGTATAATCATCGGCTTCGATTTGATCAGTTTTAGAAAGAATAACGGAGAACTTTTCTTTGTTGAACCGTCCATCCATCTGCATTTGCAGTGAATGAAACTTGGACAGAAGCTTCTGCGCTATACGCTCATCGGCAGCCCGATGAACTGGAGCGACGATCATAGTAACGTCGATCTTGTCTGAATACTTTTGAGCGACCTCTGCCCTGCTCGCCTCCATCTCTCCCTGTCCAGGGAGGTCGACCAAGCATATTCCATTTTTGAGAATTTCACTTCTCAAGAATAACCTGACCTCTTTGACAAGTGGCCAAGCAGCAAAGTTTGTGCCACTCCCATGAGTGGCCTCGGTCGAATCAAGGTACGGTTTGGTCATGCCTGCCAGCTCCTCGGGGGTGGATGCGTGGATAGTCTTCATCGATAACTTCAAAAGTTCACCAACCGCGGGGTTACTATTGAAGATGAGCCTTGCGCTGTATGTGATTTCTGAGCCCGCGTCGTCGATGATTTCCTGCACATCTTTTTCTTCGAGCTTCCATAAAGCTCGGACCTTTTCCATGCCCTTGCCTATCTCACTTTGCATCTGTTCAAGATTATCCTCTTTTTCTTTATCGCTCTGAAACGAAGTCTCGTCTGGATTGTCCCGGGCGATAAATGCTTCAACAAGAATCTCAGGAGTCTTGATAATCTCCTCTTTGGATTGGAAGTAAATATTAGCAATGCACTTGTAGCCGGGGCGGTTGTCAAAGTTCCATGACACTTTGCATGGCACCGCGGTAGCTGCCCCTTGATGTCCTGAAGGGAATACTTCACGAAATCCCAAAAGAGCATTGAGCATTGACGATTTCCCTGCGCCCGTGGCTCCAGCGACCCCCACGAGCATCTCGAAGGCCCTGTGTTCTCCCCGGATTGAAACTAGGAGGATTCTCATTAGCTAGGTCATTGGTATCTCTTCGATATTTGCGGATGGACATACATAGGCTGTTGATAATGGATTGAATCACATTTCTCGAATCTGTATGCTGATCATCGATGTGCTCTTCCAGGCAGTTTATCAGCTTGGCAGCATGAGCCTCAGCTTTCACCACTGCATCCTCCCTGATGCTTAATCTCTCGGCATCGTCGGCTAGAGTGGCACATACTTGCCAGGCGAAACGCTGGGGGCTTTCGGGGCTTTCGCAATTCATGAGGGAGGCGGGGAGCTCCGGCCGGTCCAGCATGATGAACCTGGGTTGAGAGCCGCCAAAACCAGGTTTACTGATATGGAGAAGGAAAGGGCATGAGTTAGGGGGATTTTTTGTCCTTTGTTTGTGGTTAATGGCGCAGGAAGTGTCAAGTGAGAATGGAGTCAGTGAGTTCACTTTATTTTTTGTGAATGGGGAGAGAGAAAGAATGTGTAGGTGTATGAAGTTGAGCTGAGGCGAGAAGATCTACTGTGAGCTGGAGGTGAGAAAGCAAGCAGGAGCGCCTTCCTCTCCACTTTCCTAAGCAGCTCAATAAGACACACAATAATCAAAGCATGGAAACACAATCTACCGCCACAAGGAGTCTATTATGTGTACAGAAGCAGGTAGAGGGGTATTCTTGCTGATGTTCGCCTGGAGGCACAGTGAGGTTTGAACCCTTCCTCCACCCAAGTTTGCTTGCACCACCTGGACAGATATTCCACTTGTTTCTTATGTTTCCAAGTCAAAGGCAAGCGTAATAAAATACATCCTTTCGTTCTGTTTAATCTACTGGTCAGATGCAATGCGGCTGCAGGAGATAATGTCACGTGGGCGGCTGACTACATGGATGTAACACCTGCAGATAGCCCGCAAATTGGCTCGTTGGCTCGTGGGTCAACTTGCAGCTGTCGCTTCTACAAGAATATGGATTCTCGCCCTTTTGCTGTACGATCGAGGAAGCTAGCATGGAGATCGCCGTGAAGTTGCTACTGACGGTGTTGACGATAGTCATCATCGCATGGGGACTCACAGGACCTCTCCGCCAACCCTCCAGGAAACAGCCACGGTCTGAAACCTGGACCTTGCGAGTTGACGATATCCCCACAAACGAATCTGGAGTTTTTGCCAGTAATCTACAGACCATCATCGACCAGGACCGGAAATTGAAAGACGCCGTCCCTACTCCAATCTGCTGCAACTCTATCTCGCCGCGGGATGGTCGCTCCAGCTGTGCTACGGTTTCGATCACTTCATCTCTCCTAGCTGAGGAGTTATGCACCTTGCTGGAAAGAGCTCTCAGCAAGTACTCTTACACCTTTTCATGTACATTTGATGGCATCACCCCACTCTACGAGGACCCAAGCCGCGTAGATGTTGAGTACGTCCTGGCTTCTGCTAGCATATACGGACCGTGTTGACTCTTCTAGCATCATTGTAATTCCTGGCCTCGGATGCAATGCAATCGGTTCATGGAGAAGTCGCAAGACCAATAAGATCTGGCTACGCGATTTCTTACCCCAAGACTTTTCTAATATAAGAGTTCTTCTTTATGGATACGATAGTACGCTGCCGGGCAGCCATTCTAAACAATCTATCGCTGATCTGGGCAATGCTCTGATGGAAACAGTCACTGCTTTTCGGTCTAAAACTCAAGTCCGTTATCTTTTCTTAAGTTTCCCAAGTTAAGTTAATGCCCACCTAACCTTTCCCAGACTCTCAGGCGCCCGATCATTTTCATCAGTCATAGTCTGGGTGGCCTTTTGATTAAAGAGGTGAGTCCTTCCACACCCATCACAAAGGACTTTACTAACTTTCGAAGGCACTTCTCCTTTCCAGAAGAAAGTTTGGGGAAACAAACCCTACTATCTCCAGAGCTACCTATGGGATCCTTTTCTTCGGCGTGCCTAATCATGGCCTTCGGAACGAGCAGTTACGAACACTTGTCGACGGTCAACCTAATAAAGCTTTTATCAATGATCTCCTCGTGGATGATGATTCAGAAGCGTCGGGCTTCCTGAAAAGACTTACAGTACAGTTTGCCGAAAGCTTCAAGGGCTATTACCACATCGTAACTTTCTACGAGCGGTTACTTAGTCCGACCTTGGAGGTGCGCTGCTCTGTCAACAATGCTCATTTATAAAGTTAACATTATTTTCCAGCGTAATAAAGCCGGGGGATGGTCAAAGACTGGTCGGAGATGCTTGATGGTGACGGAACAATCAGCTACCAGCACCGGAATAGTGGCTACAGCCGACGAAGACAACATCCCAATGAACGCTGACCACTCCGGGCTCGTCAAGTTCAGTTCCAGAAATCATGGTGAATATTTGGTAGTCCAAGAGAGACTAAGACAACTAGTTGAGGAAACAAAACAAAAGGTTTCCCAAAGATTTGCTGAATCTGGTATGTATCCTGGCACCCTATCTCGGGAGAATTGATACTAATAGTGCAGCCCAGACCTGTACTGCCCTAGTTCAGAAACACCTCAAGCTTGTTTAAGGTCTTTGGCCTATGAGGCTATGGACACTCGACTTGATACTATTATTGAGGAATCTGATGGTACCTGTGAATGGCTTTCGAGTCATGAAAACTTCGTCAAATGGAGGGACCAGCACCGAGGTCTCTTGTGGATCAAAGGAAAGCCTGGATCAGGCAAGTCTACTATTACAAAGTATGCAGTCAAGAGACTCTCCAAAGTCTATGGGCCTGAGACCCAGGTTTTTTCGTTCTTCTTCCACGCGCGGGGCCACGAGCTTCAGAAATCTCTGCTTGGTTTCTTCCGATCCATTTTGCACCAGATTCTCCAACGCTACCCCGGTTCGCTCAATGATCTAGTTGATGCGTTTAATACGAAACGAATGTCAATTGGTGAGCCGGGGAAGAATTGGCACTGGCACCTCCAACCGCTCCAAGAATTTCTGAAATTAGGGCTCCCCAAGATCCTGACGAGGTTCCCCGTCGTCTTTTTTATCGATGCATTAGATGAATGCGGCCAAAGCCCTGCCCTCGATCTGATCAAATACTTCCAAAGGGTGCTCCAGTGTCTGCCTTCAAAGGGCTGCCAATTTGGTGTTTGCTTCTCTTGCCGCCATTACCCTATCATTCCAGGTAATGGTGGGTTAGAAGTAGTGTTGGAAGAAGAAAACTATAAAGACATTTCCATGTTCGTCAAGAGGAGTCTTCTCATCATCAACAATAATGATCTAAATGAGGAGCTCTTCAATCTGATTGTTGGGCGTGCGCGAGGAGTTTTCCTGTGGGCTATGCTGGTTGTGAGAGAAGTTTCACGAATGGCAATTGAAGGCGAGTCGATGGCTACAATGAAAGCTGAAATAGCTCGTATGCCACGGGATTTGAATCCATTCTATGAGGAACTCGTCAAGAGCAGCAAGAATCATCCCGCAACGCTGAGCCTAATCCAATGGCTTTGTTTCCCCGCAACCCCCTTGGATATTGATCAATTACAGTGGGCTCTGGTTGTTGATCCCAAGTCTCCACTGAAGACTCTCGAAGAGTACCGTGCATCCGAGAATTTCATATCAAGCGATAGATTCGAGACCAGGATCAAGACTCTGAGTTGTGGGCTTGTGGAGGTCAGCCGCCACACTGTCCAATTTATTCACCAGTCAGTCAAGGATTTCTTTCTTGATCAAGGGCTGGCCCTTCTTGATCAGAGAGAACCAAATGAGGTTGTTGCAGCTGCTCACTGCCGTATGTCTCTGATATGCGTCCAGTACATGAATATATGCTGTAAGGACCCAGGCATTATCGGGAGACAAATTTACGAAACCCCCCTACGTCGGTATGCAGCCACAAACTGGTCATTTCATGCGATTCTTGGGCAGAATGCGCGGCATTTTCCAAAAGAGTTCCTTGATGTAATACAATGGCCAAACGAGGGCCCGCTTCAGAGCTGGTTGCGACTGGTGAGGAACACAGTTTTTCCAAGTTTTCCACCGGAGACGACTTTGATGCATCTTGTAGCCAGATTTGATCTGCGAAGATTGTGCTTCTTCCTGACCTCTCCTCTTTGTGGCGATGCAGCATTACACCAATATGGGAAAAGCAGCTGTCATTGTCCACCTCTCCTACACAATAACGAGGATGGATATGGAACGGCTGTGCAAAGTCTCCCTATCGAAAAGGTGTACTTTGACTTGAAGGACCGGAATGGCCGCACACCACTTTCTTGGGCAGCAGAACACGGATCTCTAGAAGTCGCTAAGCTGCTTCTTAATACTGGTCAAGTTGACGTTGAATCAAGAGATGAAATTGGCCAGACACCACTTTCAAGGGCGGCGAAGTATGGATCTCTAGAAGTCGCCAAGCTACTTCTTGATACCGGTCGAGCCGAGGCTGATTCGAGAGATAATGCTGGCCGCACACCATTTTCGTGGGCAGTAGAACATGGATGTCTAGAAGTCGCCAGGCTACTTCTTGATACCGGTCGAGTTGATGCCGACGCGACAGATGATATTGGCCGCACACCACTTTCGTGGACAATAGAACATGGCCACCTGTCAGTCGCTAGGCAACTAGAAGTTGCCAGGCTACTTCTTGATACCGGTCGAGTTGATGCCGACTCGAGAGATGATGCTGGCCGCACACCACTTTCGTGGGCAGCAAAACGTGGGGCCCTAGAACTCGCTAGGCTACTTCTTGATACCGGTCGAGTCGAGGCCGACTCGAGAGATGATACTGGACGCTCGCCGCTTTCGCATGCAGAAGGGAGGTCTCCAGAAGTCGCCCAGCTGCTTATTAATACCGGTCAAGTTAACGTCGACTCGAGAGATAATACCGGTCGAACACCACTTTCGTGGTCAGCGCGCACGTTCAATACAGAAATCGCCAAGCTACTTCTCAATACCCGCAACGTAGACGTTGACTCGAGAGATGACGCTGGCCGGACACCTCTGTCGTGGGCTGTATCGTCGGCAGCTGAAGGGGTAGCTCAACTGCTCCTCAATACAGGCCGAGCTGAGGCTGACTCGAGAGACAATGCCGGCCGTACACCTCTCTCGTGGGCTAGTTCGGCATCACGTCTTGTAGCGGCAAGTATGCTCCTTGATACCGGCCGAGTTGAGGTTGACTCAAGGGATAGTACTGGCCGGACGCCTCTGTCATGGGCTGCAGCATCCTATCATCTAGATGGAAAATTTACCAACGGAGAGTGGGTCCCTTCTTCATGGAAAGAACCATCCTCTAAGAGTGTAGTTGAAATACTCCTTGATACGGGCCGAGCTGAAGTTGACTCGAGAGACAACACTGGCCGGACACCCCTCTCTTGGGCCGCAGAATCACCCAAGTCATTGATAACAGTCATGATGCTCCTTAAAACAGGCCGAGTTGATGTAAACTCAAGAGATGACAACGGTCGAACGCCTCTCTGGTGGGCCGCACGGCACGGGTCATGGCTTGTGGTCGAAAGGCTCTTCAATTCAGGCCAGGTCAAGATTGGATCAGAACTCCAAACCTGTGTCCCGCTTGCTGTTCGATTCAGCAAGGCACGGCGAGAAGAACTCCTCAAGATGCTTTCGGTTGAAAGCGAGGGTGAAGGTTCTGGACACGGATAGCTGCTTGGACTTTTGGACTTTGCATGGACCAAGAAACCAACGGAGTGTGGTATGAATCTACGCAAGTGATATAAAACTTACATTGAGAGATATCAATCTCGCTCTTGGATAAATTTAGTAGAATGTTTAGATTTCTCTACATTCGTGTATACTAGATGGGTGGTGATTAATTCCTTAAAAACCAACCTGCCTACCTATTTAAACATACGTATTGTGAGACCTATACGCGAAATGCTGTGCGACACACAAAAACACACTGCTCGAGGGCATGATAAACTCGGCGTCTTGTGAAAATATTCAGCAAGCAACATCATCGGCGAAGGTAAATTGGTAACATTAGGCTTGTCAATGGGAGCATAAGACCCCCCAATCCCAGTCGGACGTCCATCTCGAGGAAGTAATGTCGACAGCATTGTTGATAGTCGTTGTTAGAAATATCGTTAGAAGAATTGCTATTTACAAATGAATATCATGTAACTCGTCGAGTTCTCATATTAAGAGTCAATCTACGACACAACACATTCTTGATCCAGCAAGGGGGGAGGTTGTCGAAACCCCGATACCACACCCGTCCTCCTGTCCCTCTCGACACCAGCCCCGACCACAACCCCGGCCTTGTCGATGCCCATGCCCAGGAACGCCTTGGCCACCCGCCGGTAGTCCCCGAAGAACGCGTGCGCCCGGCTGTCGCTCCCGGAGACGACCCCGTGCCCCAGCGTGACCCCCCACACGCCGCCGACCCTCAGCGCGTGGGCCCTCGGGCTCCCGTCGCCGCGCTGCAGCATCACCGAGTACACGAAGCCCGTGTACCGCACGGTGCGCTCGGCCACGTACGCGGGGAAGCCCCAGGCCTTGGCGTCGGTGTCCCCCGCGATGGGGTGCCACGGCGTGACGAGGATCCCGCCCTTGACCTGGCACATGGTCTCCTCGGTCACGGGGGTCTTGAGCACGACGGCGACCTTGCGCACGCCGGCCGGGGTGCGCACCTTGACGCCCCGCCGGAGCTTGCGGATGGCCACGCGCCGACCGGAGGCCAGCTCGACGGGGGTGGAGCCGGCGAAGCAACTGCCCGTCGGGTTGTGGTAGCGGGACATGGAGAAGGTGTGGTTGGAGGTCGGGTGGCTCGAGGATGCCGCGTAGCGGAGGTGTGGAGCTGATGGTTCGGGGGCGGGGAGTTTATCAAAGGCTTCGTCGAGTTCGTCACGGCAAGCGAGGAAGAGGGGGCTCCCGGTGCCGTACTGGAGGGGGCCGGGGTCTTTGAAGGAGTTGCAGATCTGCCTGGTGTGGGCGTTGTGGATTGAGGGAAGGTAATGTATGCCCCATCTGCGGAAATTCTCTGGGGTGCGGAGAGCAATAGATATTTGGCCTCTGGGCTCTTCTCCTGCGAGGTCCTCGACGAGAGACTTGTTCAGGGCGTCGTCGAATTTCTGGGCTGGGAGTTCCTCGATCAACTCGGGGAGCTCAGCCATCTTGGCCTTGAGCTGCTCGTGCTTGACTGCTTGGTAGACGTGCTTGACGTTGGCAGGGAAGATGGATGCGAGGAACTTGGATATCAACGTCCTCGACTCGTGGTACGCGATCTCATTCGGTGAGAGCTCGGCATCTGCCAGCATGCTGCATGTTGCGTGGGCGGCGCGCTTTGGCTTGCCTCCGCTTGGTAAATATTCCAGGTGGGCCGTCACACAAGTCACTCCCTTTTCATCGAAGGGGTCGTTACCTATACCCTTGGCCGAGATGTAGATGTCTCGTGTCTGGCCATATTGTAGGTTGCCCAATTCCAACTTGAGCGTGCTCTCTGAGCCGTCAGCCTTTGGTGCGTATCTCCCGATATAGTCACCCCTGATCTCCTCGAGTGACAGTGGCTCTTGGTAAGACAGAGTGAGAATAGCCTTGGTTGCAAAAGTCGACTGTAAATTGGCGACGGCGTGAACAAAGACAGTTCCGATCATGCCAGCATCCGGAATAAAGGCGTAGTTGCCGCCTCCAAACTCAGCGATGGCTTTGAGGAGACCAGATTCAAGGTTATAGCCAAATCCAAATGTATGAACGGAAGCGGGCAATTTGTCCATAGAACGAAGCTTGGGGATATAGCCCTGCTCGGGACACATATGATTGGGCTTTCCGTCGGTCAAGATCATGAGTGCCGGCACTCGGTTCGATGGCATACCCTGTTCCAGAACTCTGATACCGTCTCGCATACCATGCCACAGGTTTGTGGCGTCACGGGACTCGATCTCCCTGACGCTCTTACGGGCGTCCTCCTTGTTCTTATCGTTCATAGAAGTAAGTTTCAGCACAATCTTGGATCTGCTGCCGAATGTCACGATTCCCAAGCGGTCGTCTTCGTTGAGCGTCTCGATGATGGTCATGGCTGCGTGCTTAGTGAGGTCAAGAACCGAAAGCCCAGTGCTCTCTTCTTCGCCGGGCACGTCGGCCGGGGCGCCCATGCTCCCCGAGACATCGATGACCAGTACGATGTCACACGCAACATGGTTGATCTTTTCTGCCGGAGCATGAGGGGGGGTGACTTTGACGATCAGCGCCTCCTTGGCCGAGACTGGATGTAATGAGAGGCTTGCATGTACTGGCGAGGCTTGAGAAGAGCCAGTCTTCTCATTGATGGAGGCATCCCTGATTGGGATTCTCTGCCGTAGTGTTAGTCGCTTTGCACCTGAAGTGGGATCAGGTTGGTATGGTCGCTTTACCATGGCTAGTGACAGGGCAGAGAACGACGTCGAGATACAGTGGTTGAAGGAGAGGAAGCGTTCTCAGCCCTTGGGATAGGTCCGGGCTGTCTCAGTCAGGGCCGTTGTCTGTGTAGCCGCCATGACGATGTGCGGCTCCCGGCGACTTATAACAGAGGGGACGATGACCTTCGCTCGAGGCCCAGTGCAAGGCAATCGCCACGGCATCCAGACTGCACTCGGGGCCCGACAAAACGAACGTGCCACGACAGACTCCAAGGCAGAGTAGGCAAAGGGCCTTGGGAGCCGCACTAGCCACGGCACGGCGCATGTTTGGGTCGTTTTGGTCGCAGCTGGTGCACGGCAGTCCGCAAGGCAGATCCGCGCCGGCACACCTGATTGGCCCAGGGCGGGCTTGCGGGCGGCGTAGGGGGACCGGCGCGTTACTAAGCCGCCACGCGTCCACTAAAACCACAGCCTCAGGGGGCCACAGGGCTGTTGGGCTCCCACCAGCTCGCCCAGGGTCAATCAATCCGCCTGGCATCATTCGGCCCATTCTGGGGTCACGGCCATGGGGGACTGGCATCAAGATTGCCTACTTCGGCATCTGTTCTGCTGAGCATGCCTCCTCTGCGTGCTCACAAAGCATGAGCTAAGCTCCGGCCCAATCAACCAGGCAGAATTGCGAGATTGTCAGATCCGATCACATACGACACGGCATGCTACACGGGATGTCGCCCCAAGGCTATAAACAAACGAGGTGGCCAATCGCGACCGCAGTTAAAAATATTCATCCCCAAACTACCTACCCTTATTCCACTTGCCTTACTAGTCGGTATATACTATCGAGGCACCAAAGCCCGACATTCTCACTGCTTATGCCACGATGCTGCTATTCCAAGCCGCCGACTTAGGCAGAAGCTACAGGGCATCACCGCCTCTGGGGGCCGCTTCACCCTTCGCATGGTCCAAGCAGCCCAGCTGCGGTCACCAAACAGACCTTGACCTGCCTGATATGCCCGTAGAATCGACCAATTCGTGAAGATGCCGCGATGTAGGCTGTTTCAGCGCCAATCCACTTACAAGAATTCTTACAATGCGTCGACTCATCTCGTGTATGAGATGATGGCTCCGCCGGCGGCGTGCTTGGCGACACTGCGCCTTGTTTCCAGTTCGGTTTGCATGGGCCACATGGCAGCGCATAGTCGGCAAACCCGAGCTGGGACCGCGTGCCATGTGTGCTGCAGATCCCACGGTGTTTCGTCTCTTCTCCAGGTCAGATGCCTAGCGGGCTGAGGATTTGTTGGTCTGTGAAGAGGCAGATGGTACACAAATGCATACATATACTATGACTGGATGCGCCTTATGGAGCGACACTCAATGAGCTACTCAAGCTACTGGAGTGTTACTGCTCTGCCCGCCCAAGTGGGTGACAGGAGAAATGAGACACCTAATGGAAGAGTGGTTATAAACAGACTACTTTCTATGATAAATAGAGAAATTTAGTAGTATAAAATGAAATAAAGTGATAATATACACTATATTATCTCTGAAATATATATTATTAGCACTCAATAGTCTGACAATACCAGTCGCAGACTCGAAAATAAGCAGCTTAATGTTTAAGTGTCTCAATTTCAATGTCACCCACTTGCCGCCCAACCGTTTCCCCACAGATCAGGCATGCTCTTGTCTCATCCCTGATCCGACCAGAGCGAATGAGCAGATCAGGCTGGATGAAGTTAGGAGGACGAGGTGATGGATGGAGACACAAGAGGGATCTGAGGGAGTAGGGCCCGTGTTTCGCATTGGTTGTCGTCGTCTGCCTTCAGCCCGCTAGCAAGACGACAAGGTTTCGTGGCTTCACCACCCGAAAATCCGGGGGAGCCTGGTTTCATCAATGAAGCGGGCGAGATGAGGCACGGCAGCTCAGGCTTGTGGGATTGAATCTCGACATGGCACCAAGGGCAGTTGATACAATATTCCAAGGTAGGCTCCGTGCCCAATACAGCGCATTGTCTTACTCATCGTCAAGGGTCTCTATTGCCGAATGAACAAACCAGTACCTTGCATTCTAGACGTGTGATTCATATCATCCACTAGGCAAAACCAGGCTGCAAAGGAGGGGAAGTAAAAGGCGGCCGTTTTCGTCTCTGGATGGATGTTGGGGTTTTAGCGCTGACATGCTCGACGGTGGAATGATTGGCTCGTAGCTCACGGCCATGCACAGATCTATCCGCCTTTTGAGTCAAGGAAGAGAGCCGAGGAGGACTGTGGCCTGAAAGTGGCTCCGGTGCTTTCGTCTCCTGAGGAGGCGAACTCGCGGGCTGATCAGCATTGTGCCACCGCTGCAGCATCATTCCTAGTCCTCGCTTGCCGATTGATGGAGAGGGGAAGTGAATGCCAACATGTGATGGGTGCATCCAAGCGATCTTCCCCTCCGACAAATGGCACTGAAACGGCACTGCATCGCGGAATTCGTGGGTCATCGGGTGAGGAGTGGTGTGAGCTATGATGGTCTAGATGCGTCCTCTCTGTGGGAGACGGCGGGTGTGGATCAGTCACACAAGCTTCCTATCCGCATAAATAAAGCATAGCTATCCAAGCTACCATGCAATGATCATGCTACGGTGGTGGTGGTTCAAGTGCGACCACAGGCCAGAGGTTGCAACCCGCCAGAGCTGGTGGAATGCCCAGTAGCGCCCTCAAACCCCTCTTTTGGCCCTTTCTCCCGTACTAAGCCATCCCATCCATTCGCCAGGGAGGTGAGGCATCTGGTGATATGTACGTCAACTTTCCGACCCTCCAACCCTCTCTCTCCCCTCCATCAGAGAGGCTTCCCCCTTCCGCTCCCACATTTCTATTCCACTTTTCGCATCTGGGACGTGGGGGGAGGAGTCGGCCCAGTGTTGAGGTACCCTCCCCCCTCCATCAAGGGCCAAGCTCGATCAAACGTCGGCTCTACATGAGAGATGCATAAGGACTGCATATGTCGAGCATGGGTGCGGCACCAAGCAGTGCTAGGCCCCCCCAGATGCGTTCCTGTCACGTAGGCACGCCGAGAGCCAGCTACCCAGAGAGGGCAAACGTCAACAAACCCCCAAGGACCCTACGTCCGCTCCCCATGTCTTTTGATGTCATCGTACGTGTGCTTCCCCAACTGCCCCGTGGGAAATCTAGTCAGCCTGTGTCTAGCCCGGCCGCGCCATGCCGCTTTGGAGCCAAGCGCAGACACAGCCAAGGGGTCCGTGGTCCGTAGGCTGGAGCCTAACCTGCAGACGGAGGCAGAAGCGGCGAGCACACCTCGTCACGGCGCATGGCCATTTGCTGCTTTGCCTGGTCTAACTGGCCCTCCCTCACGGTGGCCCAGTGGAGTGCCTGCGTTAATAAAGAGGGGAAGAGGTTGCAGTCTCTCGGATGCATCTGCCCACACCCTTCGGGGTCGCGGCGCTACTCTAGCTCTCCCCACACACCACCACTCAGCATGCATTTCCTCCAGGCTTGACAGATGGAAATTCGTCATTTGTCGCCCTCCCTCCTCTGGCCTGCATCCACTCATGGCAGATGGCCTGCCGCGCGATGACCTCGCTCAATTACCTCTCGAAAATCTATTCGTCGCCTCCTGCCCTTATCTACGTATGGATCACCCCCCCCCCTAAAAACCTTCGTCCGCTAGGTCGCACCCGATGCACCTCAACGCCAGGATAGCATGTTTTCTCCCTGCCTCCCGTAATATTTTTTTAACCCCGAACCTCCGCAGACGAGACCGGGGATCTCGGCTGGTTTGTTTTCAGTGGTGCTACGCGCTTTAGTCCTCTCCCCTTCCTGTTTGCCTGGCCTCTGATTGGTGCGCGCCCTCTCCCTCGAACTCTACGTAGCAGAAGGTTGTAAGTCATGGTGCAGGAGCGATGCAAAGCGACGCCTTCCGTCCATCCATTCGGCTGAGTCAACAAAGCTTGTGGGCGCCTCTCACCCTGCTTGTGCCCTCCATGTATATTAAGACAAGACCTGCCCACCACCTTCTCTCCCGCCTCTTCCCTTTGACTTTTCTCTTCATACTATCTCTTTCTCGTTTCTCAGTAGACTCTTCTTCTTTGACTCGTCGGAGCTTGACCATAATAAAAAAAAGAACTAAACCTCTACCATCTCTCCTTCAACCTTCCAACACGCCCACCCATCACCACCAGTCAACATGCCTGCCTTCGAATACTGCTGCAAGTGTGGTGGCATGATTGTCATCAGCACCACCTGCACTGGCTGTGGCCACAAGCAGTGCAATGACTGCCCTCTCACCTAAGGGCCTGGTCCCTCTGTGCCCTCGTGGAACCTGCTCCCTCCTTCCAGTATGATTCCCTACTCTAACCACACCTTCAAACCCTCCCTCTAACGTGATTCACAGCGTTCAAGAGGTCACAGTCCTTCTGCAAGAAGTCAACCGATTGGGGACTTTATGTGAGAACCGAATCCAAAAAAGTAAAAGAAAAAAGCCCAGAAAAAAAATCGGAAAATCACAAAACAGAGCATGTGCTTTCATTCGATCATGTTTCTTCTATCCTGTTTTACTCGGCTTCCGGCGATTCTGTCAGCTCAGCTCCCGAATTTTCGATAACGACTTGTTTTCTTGTACGAACTATATGACGAATGCCTTTTTACAAGTTTCCGGCGACGATACCCTTTTACTTGCTTGCTACGCACCGCGACGTTTTTGCCCTCTGCTCTCGGCTCAATTTTCTTCCCGCTTTTCCCAGGAGTACCCGTCAAAGTTGATTCAGTTTCATGTCAAGCTTTGGATTTTTCTCCTTTTTTTCTCCTTTTTCTTTTTTCCTTCACAATGGAAAGACGGTCATCGATCTACGATGAGGAAAGAAAAAAATGTACAATATAAACAAGAGAGGAAGAAAAAAAACCAGGTGATACTTTTGGGGGATTTTGCAGGGCGTTCTACGAGTTTGGTACACTGAAGAGAATGGGGGAGTCGGTGTTGATCTTGTCTCATTTTTCTCTCTTAATTCCTCCCGCACCAATTTAGTTCGCGGACCGGGGCATAAAGCCAAACTCGTGCCTCCTCCGCAGATCAGATTTAGTGTAAAATCGTTTTACAGGAATAAATGGAAAATGTGGAATACAAACCCCATATTGATTCAAAAAGGGAATGCGTTTTTGCCTCGCCACCTGCCAGCTCGCTTGACGTCAGAAAACCATCGCCATGTTAGTCCCTTAGCAAGTGGCTAATAATACCGCTATATTCAGACTTGGCAGCAATTAAAATACAAGCCAACCAGAGAGCAGCAGCCTTAGGAATGCAAAGGCAGCCAAATGATGTCAGTGTCTCACAACAGTCGTAATGCACAAAGGCATCAGTCACGTTGACATCCTGATCATCTCCAGCTCACACGTCACGCCCGATGACTCCTCAGCTTGCCTCACTCAAAGCCACACCGGCTTACACAAGATCAACCTAAACCTCGCCACCTCCACATCATCATCACAGGTCCTTCACCATGCGGATCCCGCTCGCCTCAGGGTCCTTCTCCTCCCACTCCCGGAACCCCAGCTTCTCGTAGAACGCGACCACTTTCCGGTTGGAGCTCGCGACCCCGATGCCGATCCCCTTGCAGTCGCCCGCCCTCCGCGCCCTCACCTCCTCCACGAACCGCTCGACCAGCCTCCGGCCCCAGCCCTTGCCCTGCCACGGCTCCAGCAGGTCGACGTGCATCGTCGCCCGGTACCCCTCCCCCAGCACGTCCTCGTTGCCCTCCACCAGCAGCCACCGCGGGTTGTACGCCGTCTGCGCCAGGCACGTCTCGTTGATGGACGAAGCCCCCTCGAGCAGCCACGGCTCCCTCCGGCCCGCCACGTCCCCCGGCCGGGACACCTCGGCCGACGGCTCCAGCACCTCGTCCACGTACCGCCCGTAGGCGTCCACGAAGGCCGCGACGCTCGGGCACCCGATGCAGTACCCCACCGCCCTGCCGGCGCCGTCGTCGACCACGAAGCACGTCGCGGGCGAGAGGTGCGTGTACTGGTGCGTCCAGATGTACGGCGCCAGCCGCCAGGCCGCCTCCGAGCCCGTCAGGTCGGGGGCCAGCGTCATCCGGCACTGTTCCGTCTCGCCCGACCCCGGACGATCGTTAACCCAGGGAAGAGAACCCCCATGGGGAGTGCGCGGTGGGGGGAGGGAAAGAGGTAGGCTGGATTTCTCGTGCATGTGTGTGATCAACTTACAATGTTTGCCATGTCGTCAAAGTCTGACGGGCGGTACTGCCTGATGAACGCCATGGCTTTCCTTAGCCGCAACGCCTAGTTCCTTGTAGTTTTCCCTGTAAGTGGTGCCGCCGGGCGTAGGAGTGATGCAACGGCTGTTGATGCTGCGGCCCTTGGATGAACAAGTTCTGGGTTTATGGCTGCAGTCTGAGTCACGGTGCAGGAGGGAGAGAGATGCGGCTTTCATGTGAAAGGCTGAGGGGAACGTTACTTCGATGCCACTCCACTTCCTAATGTGGCTATACCAAGACCTCCTCCCACAGTCTGTTTCAAGAATGCTGTCATCGACTCGGTGCGTTTTTATGCACTCTAGCCAGAATGGGCTGGTGATATCTTGAAATTTCGGGAGATGACCATTTCGGGGACTTAATTTCTTTGCCGTAGATTATATTACAACTAAGTTTGTTCCGCAGACATGTGAAGACGACAAGGTGAAAAATGCAGGGAGAGAGTGGTCCTCGAAACAGCCGCTTGCAGCTATCCCCATCATCGTCCGGTGCTCGATACAACCCAGGCGCGCTCTTCTGGACTGTCTATGATTGCCAACAAGAAGGTCGCCAACCCCACAAGCAAATAACTCGAAGTCGTCTAGTTGGTTTATGGCGCCAGACTGTAATCGTTGGAAAGCATATCTGGATGTCAGCGGTTCGACTCCGCTCTTCGAGATGTTTCACATTTTTTGCTGGAATCGGCTGTTCTGCTTGATAGAATCAGCCCAGGTGTCATGAATGACCTAACATCGGTCATGTCTATCCCTTTGCTAATTCGAACTACATCGTCGATGGCCTGTGCTGGATGGGGGAGAGATGTGAGAGTGTTAGGAATAAAAACACAGCACATAAGCACCGTGCCTTGAGCCTTCCATATGCAATAATGAGTCCAGTGTTGTGTAGTTGACAGTTACAACACCAAGAGTAAGTAAATGAAAAATTATAGGATGATAATTGTCTCGTATGTTCATCTTTGACGTGAACCACACAATACTCTTCTTAAAATACTATCAGTCTCTCAAACCAAACATCAATCCATCTACCCATGAGGCTCTCATCCCAACGTCACCGAGACCAGGCAAATGTTCAAATTGATTATTCTTATTTTAGAATTCAATCATGTACTAATAACTAATAGTACCGGGGTAATAATATAATGAGGGTCCTCCTGTATTGGCTGGCTTATAAGCCTCCTTTGCCCGTGCTTTCAAAAACCTCAACTCCATGCAAAATATTGTGTCGCGCCAAGAAATACACATTTGATTCCTTTCTCCAATGGCTCCCATGTAGTTGGGTATATCGCGCTCAACCTTTGTCGGAATGCGAACCATGTCCGACTCCACTCTCGGCCAGCCGTACAATGTTAAAACGCCAAATGATCATCCTATACATAAACAATTATGAAGAAAGCAGAAACAGAAAATGGAGACAGTGTCCGGGTATGTACCAAGGAAAGGAAATATGTTTAAATAAAGTCCAGGCCGTCCCCCGGAGTTGGAAAGGGCAACGTGTTGCCGTATATGTAAAACCACGCCTCATATTCTTAGCATCGCAAGTCATGCTCGCCAAATACTGCAGGTGGGCAAGAAGCAGAGAGAAGCATTAAGTGTATGTAATTATTTCATGCCTCCCATCCCCGAAACTGGCATTCGGGGCATGGCATCGCGAGGAGGGCTTGATCGATTCACTTGGCTGCGGAGACCATTGCCCTCGCTGGTTACCTTGCGAAGCCTCTGTCTGAAATTAATAGGGTTGGTCTCCTCGTCGGGCATTCGAACAGGGGGCCGTCCTGTCATGGGTTTGTCGGACATTTGCATGTTTGGAGGACCATCCCGTCCAAAGTCGCTTCCCTGGTTCTTTCGTCTTGGGTTAATGGGAGGCAATGGGGGAGCAGATCCCATAGCATTGGGGCTGGCCCCAGGCCCTTGCCTCATACCCATGTGCCCGCTATTCCCAGTGGAGGGGCGAGGATATGGACTTCTGGCTGGCGAAGTGTCTCTAGAACTTGCGTTTGAAGCCATACCCATCTGTCGTCTGTAGTCGGGAGTACCCGACGGCCGTTGGCCATAGCCCTGTGGAGGCATTCCATTCATGGCTGGGCTATAGGGGCGTTCATAATCACCATACGGCGACGATGTCTGACGGGGTCGAGGAGGGCCATAGTTGCTCGTTTCCGAGCCGCTCCTTTCTCTATCATACGGGCCGACAGAGCCGGTCCTTGACCTGCTGCCATTCCTGCGATCCTCGTTTGAAATTCGGTTATACGATACTGGAGGTCCGTTGCGGTCTTGCCACCCGTTGGGGGCAGGTGATCGTTGCTGGGAGGGAGGAGGAGGCGGCGCTTGGCTGGGCGGGTCAAGGATTTGGCCATTAGGAGAGGAGCGCGAGTCCCCAGGTCCCTGATATCTCTGCTGAACCTCCTTCTCCTTCATCCTCTGCAATTCTCGTCGCGCCTGGCGGAAGGCCTTCAGACCGGCATGGACAGGCTCTCCCTTGTCATCTGCAGCCTCTTGTTCCTCCGAAGTCTTGCGCACATGTTCAGGATTAGCGGCAAAATCACTATTCTCAAACACCGGATGGTTGGGGAGAGGCGGCGATGTCGATTGGTGATTCAAGCCGAGTCCCAGCAATTTCATAGCCCTTGACTGACTGTGGTCTCTCGGAGGCCGCTCCCCTTCGGTTGAAGGTGCTCTGCTACGTTCAGGGCGACGAAGGCTCGATCCACGTGGGGGATGATATGCTTCCTGGCTAGGAGCAGGAGTGGGGGCAGGTGAAGACGATCGGCTGTGGTCGGATTCAACGTAAGATGTCAGTCGTTCGCGAACCCGGCGAGCACCATCTGCTAAATGGCGGGCGAATTCATCATATTCCTGGGACTCTCTTGGTGCCCCAGTATCAGGAAGAGAGTCCGAATGAGTGTGTTGAGAAGGAGGCAATGGAGGAGGTTGCTGGGGAACCGGAGGAGCCTGACGAGGCTCAAATGGTGTGGGCATTGCAGGACTAGTGGGAGTTCTAATGCTTCCAGATGATGGGATGCCTGACGAGGTGTCTCTTGATGTGTTGATTCGAGATGGCATAGTCGGCATCAAATGGTTTGGCCGCTCAACAGTAGGTGACTGTGTAGAAGCCCGGTCATCCATGTAGTCTTCATCATCATATGCAGAGGATGTATTGCTGGTAGTTCGTAGATGCTGACGCACCATTCCACTCAGACCCGAGACAGGGCCCAAGGTTGGAGAATCCTCGGGGGATTCGGTTTCGGAGTCCTTTGCATTGGGCGTTTCGTCACCTCCCTGGATGAGTGGTAGAGGAGAAGGAATATTCGCCTTCCTCAGAGCCGGGTGTTCATCATCTGCTGGTCGCTCTGTTTGCAGTGGGGCAGGCCTGTGATCGGAATGCCTGGCTGGTAGAGGTGCAGGCTCAATCGACTCATCATCATCACCCATATCTAAGAACGAGGTGCCCATATTTTCTTCTGTCACAGTTGGCTCTGGTCGGATAGATCCGCCATCTGTCTTTTCGGTTGGCACTCGGTAGACTGAGGAAGAAGATCGTGAACGACTTGTAGGTGTCGATGCACCAGACTCTCTTCGGATTTGCGTCGTGGGCTCGCTCGCTTGCTGAAGTTGTCGCTGGCGCTGGGCGAACTTTCCTTCGTCGTATTGCTGCGTTGGTCGGCTGAAGTAGTTATATCCAGAGGGTTTTCCGGAATCATGTGGAAGGGACGCAAATGATTGTGGTTCTCCAGTTTCGCTGATTGGTGGACTCAAAGGAGGTGAAGTCGTAAATCCCTGCCTCGTCTCCATCTTCGGCAGCTTGGGGATTGTCCCATGCTGGGAACCACCAGTGTTCGGTGGACTGAACGAGCGGAGGTTCGGCGCGCTCGCTTTGCTGAGGATCGGTCGTCGCTCATTTATGCCTCGCTCGTTGTAAGTTGCGCTGGTTGGTGACGGGGCCCCCGAAGTGAGATCAGGCGTCCTGCTGAAGTGGCGTTGGCGGGACAGTGTATCAATGCGGGAAAGAGCTGATGATTGGTGTTCCTGGAGGTCTTGTGTCAGACTCTGCTCATACAGCCGACGTGTGCGTGTGACACTCCGTTCGATGTGGGGAGTCGAGCTGTTAGAGTGTTGTGCGGCCATCGTAGAAGGTTGCCAATCTTTCAAAGAAGATGGTGGCTGCGATGCAACCGATGTGGCAGCGGTCGAATTTCGAGCCGCTGAGGGCACCGACGAGGTTGTCGAGTTAGTCTCCCGTCTTCTGTTGAAATCCTGTCGGAATGGTGACTCGGGGCCAAGATCAAATGCATCTACATTATCGGCCAACTCCTCGTCCCCGTCAAGAGACAACTTTCCTCTTTCAGTGTGTCTCCATTTTTGAAAAGCAGACATAGCCACATCATCCTCATAGAGCGCGCGGCCTGAAAGATGAACGGACTTGGTGGATCCTGTGCCCGAGATTTTGTAAATCTTTTGTCTCCCGCCGAATAGGTTGTTTCCCTCCACCGGCTTCCCTCGGTTCATAACGCTCGTAGGGGTCGTGGGAACATCGTCTGACATATATCCACCTTCTAACCGAGCGTAGGTGTTGGATCTGATAGAAGCCACCTCCGCAATGTCGGTCAAACCGGTGTTCAGTCCGAAGTCCAACCTTGACTGTCGCCTTGGAAATAGAACGCTGTCGTCGCTGGCCTTTCCAAGCTTACTGGAAGGGTCATCCTGCTCCCGCAGCATGGAAAAACGAGCCGAGAGCCCTGTCATCAACAAGCTGGTTCTGAAGTCATCGCTCGGGGGAAGAGCTGTGGCAAGATCAATCTCCAACTTGGGCTCCTCCACCACCTTTT